TAGACAAACAGTGTTATATGAAATTAAAAGCTGTGTGGCAAAGGAAACATTTACCCAAATGAAGAGATAGCCTATGTGAGAGGGAAAGATTTTGACCAGCAAGAATATACAAAGAACTAACTTCAAAAATAAAAATGGAGACAACATCAAATGATCCAAAAAATGAATGAGCCAGTGAACTGAATAGACAGTTCTCAAAATAAGTATATATAGCCAATAAAATATTTTTCAAAGTGTTTTATATACATCAGGAATATTTAACTTAAAACTACTTTGAGTTTCCATTTCACTATAATCAGAATAGTTATCACTAAATAAACAAATAGCAACAATTCTAGTAAGGCTATGGGAAAAGATAACTTATTCATTGCTGGTGGGAATGTAAGTTTATGTAGCCTCTATGAGAATCAGTATGGAGATTTCCCAAAAGACTTAAAACAGAAATGCTATATGCTATACTCTTGGGTATATACCTGAAGTACTCTAGTCTGCTATGCCACAGAAACTAACATCCATGTTCATTTGCTTCTCTATTCACAATAACTAAGAAATGGAATCAACCTAGATGTTCATCAACAGATGAATGGATAAAGAAAGTATATTAATATGCACTATGAACATTTACTCTGCCAAATATAAAAATAAAATTACATTGGTAAGAAAATAAGTGAAACTAGAAATGATTGTGTTATGCAAAATAAGATAGAGTTTCAAAGGCAAATCTCATTTATTAGCTCCCATAAATATGTGGAATCTAGAGTTAAAATTATATGAGTTGTATATGTAAATGCAAGTGTTTGTATGTAAGTGTGTGTCTTTAGGTCATGAAACTAGAAAGGGGATTCCAAGAGAGGAAGAAGAGATCTTAAGGTAAAGAAAAGAGAAGGTAATGGAATATTCATGACATGAAAGCAGAGGGGACAACTATCCGAGGAAAGGAAGGGAAAAAGCCAGAGAAGGAAAGAAATACAGAGGAGAACAGTGTGGGAGGGAGCAAACAAGACTAAAACATAATCACATGTGCATATGAAGATGCTATGTGACACCATTCAATGGATACTGTGGTGATACCTTTCTTGCAAAAAATAAAACTTGTTTGGGGGTCAGGGAATGGAGCTTGCCACTAGCTAACCATAGAGGTCTGGAGGTCTGTGCAGACAGGCAGGGAGTGACATAGCTGGGCAGTAACAGGATATAAGCAGGGACAAACAGGAAACCACTCTCTTCTCTGCAGAGCCGCTTAGAAGGTAAGGTGTGCTATAGCTTGCTGCTTCTCTCTGATCTCTCAGACAGGCTTTATTCGTGCAAGAAAGATATCACCACAGTACACTAACCTAAAAGATTAACTAACAAATCCTTATTTAAAAACGAAATAAATGGGGCTTAGTGGGAGTCATGATGGCCCACATCTCTAGTCCTAGAGGCAGATAGGATCTCTGAGAGTTTGAGGCCAGTCTGGCCTACTAAGTGAGTTCAAGGACAGCCAAGGCTATTACACAGAGAAATCCTGTCTCAAAAAACTGAAAAAAATCAATCATACAAAATACAGATAATATTTTATTATTTACCCATATTTTCTATTCATATGGATAAAGCATTTTGTATTTTAATATTATGTCTATCACCAACTGAATTCTATGTCTCCACCAGTGTCTGAAAAATAAGGTGGAGATGAGTAACATAATGTGGTATGTAATAAATATTTTAAACTGATGGGATTAGGAAAAATGATTACCGTTACTTAATTCCACCTTGTTTTTCAGACTCACCTCCCCACTCCCACTCTAGGTTGTTTCTCTTCCTTTATAGGGGCACTAAGGAGCTAGCCTCGACCCCTCCTTTTGTTCCTTCCTGCCCCACAAGATTCTGGTTCTATCTTTTCTTTTTTCAGAAGCTACCACTGGACAGTTGTGTTGTTTTTTTCTTCAGTGTTCATTCTTAGACACCTATCACTGCTGCTGCTACCAGTGCCAAAAGTTCATCCTTCACTTCTGCCTGCATTCTCCTCCGCAAGACATTCTAGAAGGGGCCTGCTGTGCAGCAGGTGGGTTACCAGCCACCCCACACCAGGGAGAATGGGGCCCTGCCCCTTGGATACTGCAGCAGAGTACGGAGGGGGCACTTTTATGGGAAAAGGGTGCAGCATCACCTTCTCTCCTTGTTCTGTGGGGGAGGGGTAGACAGTATTGGTTCCATCTGGGCCTCAGCCCCCCCCTCCAGTTTCCTATTTGCAGTTACTTGAATAAAAGAAACAGCTTTTTCTGGAAAATAAAAGTAAACTTACAGTGTTTTCCTCCACAAGGTGGTATACCAAGATGGTATGCAAATAAGAGAAACAAATGAGAACATTTTTTTCTTAATCTGGTTCTAGCAAAAAGCTTGAAGGAATGCAGTTAAACAATGTTTCTTTTCTTGTGAATGTCTGAAAAATCTAAGTGCACATTGTTTAACTAGATTCCAAAGTTCAAGGCAAGATAGTGGAAAGATGCCTAATTTAAAACAATTTTTATAAAAAGTAAACCTTGGCCTCAATCTGTAAATTATTAAAGTGTATAAACAAACTCCCAGGTTTCCTTGTCAGATCTTCTCATGTGGAATGGTTCTTTCCTTATTCATATAGACAGGGTCTGAAGAAGAGCTCAGGGGTGCAAAGGGCACTTAGTATGCGCAAAACCCTAGGCTCTATCCCCAGCACCAGTACAAAATACAAACAAAAACAAGGAAAGACTAGAAAGGAGGGAAGAAGGGAAGGAGGAAGGAGGACATGGGTATGGCAATGGTTATATTTCTCTCCTCTAGTGAAAGTTTTAATCTTAAAATTGTTGAAATAAAATGCACAATAGATGAATTAAAAGGAGAGACACCAAATGGATTTATTAACATTCACATGTATAGAGGGGCCATGGAAAATATGAAACATAGAGAAGGCCCAGATGGTTGACTCTTACATAAGAAAGATGGAGCTGTGGAAGCTGTGGGCAAATTTTACAAGGGTAGTAAATGATTTGTAGAGGAAATGAATGGACTCATAGGGGCCAGGGCAAAATTCCTCCAAGCTCTAAATGAAGGTGTTTAATTTTCAATCTCCATCTGTAGTAGAGTTCAATCTTTCTTTGTTAAATCATTTATGAGAATTTCTTAGTTCTGGATGGTGAGCAGTCTAAGAACACAGTTCCGGTGTCTGCTCAGCATTGACTGAGGGTGCTCTCACTGTATCATAGCTGGTAAGAAAAACAAAGCGGCTCTCTTGGGTGTTGCTTTCTCTTCTTATGAAGCCGCTAAGGCTGTTATGGGCCACCTCCTTCATGATCTCACCTAACCTTAACTTCCAATGCTGCTCTCCGATACCATTGACCTGCAATTATGGAATTCATTTTCTAGACATGATTTTAAAGGTTTCATTCAAACCATAGCATTCTGCCTCAAATATGTGTCCTAGTTAAACAAGTTAAAATTCAATTCCAAGCCTGGCGTTGGTGGCGCATGCCTTTAATCCCAGCACTCAGGAGGCAGAGGCAGGCGGATCTCTGTGAGTTCGAGGCCAGGCTGGACCGACAGCCTCCAAAACAGAGAAACCCTATCTCGTAAAACCAAAAAAAAAAAAAAAATCAATTCCAATAGACTCAAACTATAAACCTATGCTATCATCAACTCAAAAGATTGATCACATGAATTGAATATGGAGCAGAGTCAAGGCATGAACGAACCTTTTGGAACAAATTCACTCTTGTTTTGAAACTATTTTAAAAAACCCATCTACTTCCAGAATGCAGTATTGGGACAGGCATGGGGCAGATATATCCAATCAAAGGGGGACAGTAGGCAACCACAAAGAGGAACTGGCATCAGGTGTGCTTAAATCCCAACAGAGAAAACATTAAGACTTAAACCTGGAGAACAATTTCCTTGACTCATGTCTCACCTCCAGGGCATACTGTCCTGTTTGCATAGCTCCATTAGACATTTTTCTAGTGGAACTGTGTTGCGTTTCTTGATTCAACTAGCCATCATATAGTGGAGGCTATTTGTGGAGTATCTGACCTCACATTTTGGCAAAGTATTGATCCAGCAAGGCTTTTGTAGAGGCTCCACTTTGCCCTGGTTCCCAAAGTAGGCTAGATGGGGGTGTTCATGTTCCCCAAACTCTTAAACTGTATACACAACAGAATTATCACTGTGGGAACACCACCAAGGATTTCTCATTTCTATGTTTCTGAGCACCCAGTGGTGCCACATTGTACTCATTAGTTCTTGAGCCATACCCCTGGAAGCTAGGAGTGCTGTGCCTTGAACTCTTCTGAAGTGATCCTTGTGTGTCAGTCTTGCAAGGAGCTGAGATTATTGGCACTTTACGTTTTGCCTCACTGAAAAGGCTCTGTGTTCTCCAATGTACTTCCTTTCTGTTTTTTTTCTTAATCTCCTGTCCTGCAATCTGGATATGGTGTTGTATGCTGGTAACTCCAGTAATATAGCGGCAGCAGCAGGAGGCATGCTGTAAGCTTATACCTGGCATACATACAGCAAGACCCAGTCACAGACAGGACCAATGCCCAAGAAAAACCTGGTGGTTTCTCAGCTTTGAAATTTCTTCTGCCTCATATCTTCCCTTTGTGACTTTTAAGTTGCTCACTTAATCTTCACAGGTTTTTTTTTTGTCCTAGGATGTGATGGACCCAACATAGTCAAGTTTTTTTTGTAGCTTTAATAAGAAAGATTTTTATTCCTATTTCCAAAACTTTGGCTTCTTTAAAGCTCCTTTTTGATTGAGTTCCTTATTCTGACAATTATTAAAAGAAGGATCAAACTATACCCTTACAGGTAATCTTTTTTGTTGTACTGAAATGTGTCACAGTTACTTTGTTAATTATTGAAAATAGACCTATATTTAATGGAAGCGGAACAAAAAAGACAGAGCAATTATATTTCAGAGCATCCGTGAGCCTATAGGCAGAAACATTCACAAACTGTACCTTAGTAAATGTACATTTCTCTCAGTGGCAATGGATTCAGAGAAGAAAATACAGCTTAAGAGAGAGCTTGGATATTTCTGGGGGGTCAATTTTTTAATTATTAATATAATTGGTGCAGGAATTTTTGTGTCCCCTAAGGGGGTGCTTGAGTACTCTTGCATGAATGTGGGAGTCTCCTTGTGTATTTGGGCTGCCTGTGCTGTGCTATCCATGACCAGTTCTCTCTGCTTTGCAGAGATAGGGATAGCCTTCCCATACAGTGGGGCTCACTACTATTTTATCAAGAGATGCTTTGGTTCGTCGATTGCATTCCTGAGACTTTGGACATCCTTGTTTACGAGCGCAGGTGTAGTTGCTAGTCAAGCTCTGCTACTCGCTGAGTATGGCATTCAGCCTTTCTATCCCAGCTGCTCTGCCCCGAATCTACCAAAAAAATGTCTGGCCCTGGCGGCGCTGTGGATTGTGGGGATTCTGAATTCTCGTGGTGTGAAAGAGCTGTCATGGCTTCAGACAGTGAGCACAGTGCTGAAGATGGGCATACTCGGCTTCATTTCCCTCTGTGGGGTGTTCATGCTGGTGAGAGGGAAAAAGGAGAATGTGAGAAGACTTGAGAATGCTTTTGATGCCGAGTTTCCAGAGATCTCTCAGATTATAGAAGCTGTCTTCCAAGGATACTTTGCGTTTTCCGGCGGGGGATGCTTTACATATGTAGCAGGTAATTATCGATCTTCTGGGGGAAAAATCACGTCATGGTTGATATAGTGCATGAATGAAATGAGCATCTTTCACTGTGTATTAACTATCAGATTAAATAAACAATTCAATGATCTTCAACTTTGACTTCTTAAATCATCCTACTTTTAATTCTTCTCCACATTCAAGCTATCTCAAACCTCTATGAAAACAAACAATCAAAAAACATCTCCTTTCCATCCTTTCCCCCCTGGGGCCCGAAGTATAAGACGCCCCTGATTAATGTAGTTTTCTTTCCGTTAATGCATGAATGCTCAGATTGTGGAAACAATTCCCTCCTGTGAAACTGTGGATCCAGGAATGATGTTAAACCAGACTGTATTGGTGCTGTGAGTGCGATACAGCGTAGGGTTATCACTAGTTCCGTTTATTTATTTTGGAATCATATTTTCTATTTCTATTACATTTTCTGCTGTCATGCATGAATGTATTATTGAAGGTTCACATGATAAATCAATTGGGAGATGGGATGGGGCCATTGCTCAGTAGTAAAGCATTTGCCTAGCATGCTTGAGGTCCAGGGTTTGATTCTTAATACAGGCCCCAAACAAAACAAAATGTTTAGGATTATTACCTGTACCGGTGGTCACAGGAGCCTGAGAGGCTTTCTTCTCCTCAGCCCTCAGCCTGGTCCTCCTGGACACATGAAATGGACCAGCTCTGCAGCTTCAAGACCTCATGTTTACCATGGAAGTGCCGGGCTGCTGTAGCCAATGTCTTGTGGGGGATCACTTCCTTGTTTACTCAGAGCAGAACACCAGGGCCTGGACTTTGAATGTACTTTCACTGGGCTTTTTAGGGTTTTTAAACACAAGAGAATCCAAGCTGTCTTGATGGCTCTCAGGCAAGATTTAATACCTTCCCCTTCAATAACTGCTCCTTCTCCTTTCATTTGCAAAGTTGACCCGGCTCCTTGAACTCTGCAGTCTTCCCTTCTTGGCGCCAGGATCTCTTCACATTCAGTTCTGTCACCCCCCCCTCAACTTAAATGTTACTTTACCCTCTCTCTTTTTTAGGTTAACTATGAATGGACTTGAGTCTTGACTAAAACCTCCGTTTAATTTCATAGATTTGCTTCCTGCTTCCTGATCATAGCAAGTATTTTCTCCTACCCACACTTTGTCTTTCAATCTGGAAAATAGTTATCATGTCTTAAGATCAGTATGCTCCTTTGTCTTAAAAACAAATAATTATATATGGTATTTAATACTGGCCATAAAGAGACAATGCTATTACTGTGTAAATTCGGTGGAAGACAAGATCAGTTTTCATTGCTACTAACTACAACAGACTAGCAATTTGAATACAATAGATCATTCCCAACCATAGGGAAATAGGAATGAAAACCAGAAGCAAAGGGCTTGTGTAATGCACTGCAGGAAATCCTGGGTGGTCATAAAACTGCTTTCATTTGACGGTTATGGCCTTGAGGATGGATGAGCATGTTAAGGCAAGAACTCAGATGAAGAATATAAAATTGGGGGTGGACGGTGGCACGGGTCAGTTTTCCGGCAGTAGGTAGGAAAAGTAGATGCAGCGAGAAAGCAGAACAAGTTTAAACATTCATAAAGGTGAGTTCTCATGTCTTCCCCAAAGAGGGCTCTACTCACAAAGTTAAATGTTCTGTAAGTTGAGGGTCCTGACAAGAGGTCAGGAGGTGCTTCCTTGGTTAAGTGAGATACTGATGAGCTTTGTAGATAAATGTTAGTATACACTGGGCTAAAAAGCAAGGAGCTAAGAAAAGAAGCCTGGGATAGTGCTCCTGAAGTTTGACTTAAAGTGAGTCTCTCTCGCTTGGTGAGTGAGTCATTGTGTGTGTGTGTGCACACACACATGCATGCACGTGAGAGTACAGTACACACATGTCTCAGATGAGAGGTATTTCAAACAAATTTTATCTTGTTCTGGTGCTGAAGATGCTTCATTATCATGTAATTATATCTGCTTAAGAAAGATTTGTAACATTTGATGATCTGTAATGTAATATAGACTGCCTCTCAAACAGCTGATGGTAAACAAAACGCTGTGGAACTCTCAGTATGTCCTGTCCCTGCACTCCGTAAAGCTAGGTGAGGTGTCTCATGCCTCTAATCCTATCACTTGGAAGGTGGAAGAGGAGGACCAGGAGGTCAAAGTCAGTTTGGCTTCATAATGGGTTCAGACAGTCTCAAAAGCAAAAGCAAACCAAACCAAAACTCATGTGCCTCTAAGTTAGTAGTTACAATTTGACTCTCTTTCAAAGTGTGCTACAGTCGTTAATTTACTAAATAAAATGTAAGACTTCTAAATAGCACTTTTACTTACAAATGTGATTTATCAGCATCTGATAAATAATGTCAGAACAACTTGTCTTTCGTTATCAAGGCCCAAGGACACTCACTGCCTGTCTGGATGTTATTACAAACTATCCTCTTAAAAATTAAATTCTAATCTCTGTCACCTTTCTACAAACCAAATATGTAACGAGAATAAGTAGAAGGCCCAGGAGAAAGTGTAGCTAATTTAAATAACTGCCCTCTTTCTTGTCCCAAAAATTTAACTAATAACCATAGGTATTAACAATAGCCTGTGAGCAGGGCTGGGCATTAAATATTGTTCTTGCATATGTTAGGCAAGTGTTGTACCACTAAGATATAATCTATCCTAACAATACCATTTATTTTAAAGGACCTGGGAGTGCAAATAGGTTGTCTCATAATTTCTTCCTGTGGTGGCTGAATAAGAATGGTCCCCATAGGTTCATATATTTGAATGCTCACCAGTAATTGGAACCAAATGAAAGGATTAGAATGGTAGGAAGGTGTGGTCTTGTTTGAGGAAGTATATCTAGGTTGGCTTTGAGGTTTCAGAAGCCCATGCTATGTCCGGTCTTCTTGCCCTCTCCCTGTTCCTCTCCCTCACCTTGTCCCTCTCCCTTTCCGTCTCTCACTCCTTGTGGATCAGGATGTAAAGCTCTCAGAGACTGCTCCAGCACCATGCCTGTCTATATGTCACTATACTCCCTGACTTGATGATAAGAAATAAATCCTTTCAAACTGTAAGGAAGCCCCCACTTAAATGCTTTTCTTTGGGAGACTTTCCCTGGTCAAGGTAATACTTTATAGCAAAGAACAGTGACTAGGATACTTCCAGTATAGAGCTAAAAAATATGAAACCCCAATAGCCATAGCTGCCAAAGCCCAGAAGCAGTTAGTGGCAGAAAGGGTTACAATTAGATCTCTGTTAAGTCTTTACTCCTTTTATGCTTCATCAGTTCCTATCTGTTATAGCTCCATGCCAGACACTTGATTAGTGAGTCACATCTCCAATGTTGCCTGTTTGTTTGCTTTTTCTTTTTTAATACAATGATAGTTTAATCATTTGAAAATCATGTAAAAACAGAGAGGAAAACTGACTCTTTAATCTTTTTCAGTACTTGCCTTAAGAACATATTCATGAGATGGTCTTGCTGGGCAGGGAGTTTCCTCTCTTACTTTCTCAGAGGTAATGGTTTGGCTTAGTTTTGAAGGAGGAGCAGCGGCCAAGTTGACAGCTAAGGCATACTTAACACTTCACACAAAAGAACTGGGACTTCAGCAAAAAGGAGAAGGATATGATTTTTTAATATTATAATAATTTTTATTTAACTTTTTACACATGTTACTCCCAGCTCCCTCTCCCTCCCCTTCTCCCCCTCCCCCATCCCCCATTACCCCAGTCCATCCTCCCTCTGCTCCCCAGGGAGGGTAAGGCCTTCCATGGGGAATTTTCAAATTCTGTTATATTATCCCGGGCAGGGCCTAGGCCTTCCCCCATGTGTCCAGGCTGAGAGAGCCTCTCTACATGTGGCGTGCGCTCCCAAAGTCCATTTGTGTGCCAGGGATAAATACTGACCCACTATTCGAGGCCACATAGATTGTTGAGGCCTCCTCTCTGAAACCCAGGTTCAGGGTGGTCCGGATCAGTCTCATGCTGGCCTCTCAGTCATCATTCTGGAGTCCATGCATTCCCCCTTGTTTAGGTCAGCTGCCTCTGTGGGTTTCACTAGTCAGGTCTTGATTCCTTTGCTTGTCACCCCTCTTTGCAACTGGATTCCAGGAGTTCAGTTCGGGTTTTTAGCTGTGGGTGTCTGCCTCTGCTTCCGTCAGCCCCTGTATGAAGGTTCTAGGATGGCATATAAGGTAGTCATCAATCTCATTACCAGGGGAGGGCATTAAAGGTAGCCTCATTGCTAGTTAGTGTCATTCTTATAGATCTCTGAAAATCTCATTAGTGCCAGATCTCTCTTCGAACCTATAATGGCACCCTCTATTATGTTATCTGTCATCCAGCTCTCCTCAATTCTTACCCTGACTTAACCATCTTGCTCCCCCATGTCCTCCTCTCTCCTCCTCTTCTCCCCCTATCTTTCTCCCATCTTCCTCTCCCCTCTTCCCCACCCTCTCCCATGCTCCCAATATTGTCAGGAGATCTCATCTCATTCCTCTTCTCCGGGTTACCATGCATATCTCTCTTAGGGTTCTCCCTGTTTCCCAGACTCTCTGGAGGTGGGATTGTAGGCCGACAATCCCCTGCTCCATGTTTAAAATCCATATATGAGTGAGTATATACCATGTTTGTCTTTTTGTGGCAGGATTACCTCACTCAGGATGTTTTCTTCTAGTGCCATTCATTTGCCACAGATTTCAAGATTCCGTTATTTTTTCCACTGAGTAGATGTACCACATTTTCTCTATCCACTCTTCAGTTGAGGGGCATCTAGGTTGCTTCCAGGTTCTGGCTGTTACAAATACTGCTGCTATGAATATAGTTGAGCAGATGTCCTTGTTGTATGAATGTACATCTTTTGGGTATATGCCTGAGAGTGGAGTAGACTGATTCCCATTTTCCTGAGGAGTCTCCATACCGATCTCCAAAGTGGCTGGACAAGTTGGCACTCCCACCAGCAGTGGAGGAGTGTACTCCTTTCTCTACATCCTCACC